TCAGGCAATAGTTTCTCAAGGAGTGCCTCCCTATCAGGTCGGTATAAGACCGCGTACGCGATTTCATCTCTTTTAAATGTCCTATATAGGAGGCGCAGGAAATATATATCGTGAAGTTGTTTGAATATATCTTCTAGCTGATGCACGGGATTTTTCTCCTGAGAGGGCAGCCGGGTTATGTGGTAAGTAGGATTAATGTATGTGATCCGGAACTCATTGTTCCACGGGTAAGGTAGTGGAGGGACTACTACGGCTGTAGCTGATTCCTCCTCATGGGCAGAAGCGGGCGCTGCTTCAGCAGGCTGAGGCGCGGTGGAGCGACGGGATGAAGTGTGGGCCGCGGTACGATTACTTGGAACCTCCACAGATAGAGTATGAGATGTAGAAGGCACGGGTGCAAGCTGACTGGGTTGGTTTACTACCTCTTTATCAGAGTTCTCATGATGTGAAGACTGTCTTACTTGCTTAGCTTCTCTACCACTTTCCTTTGATTGACGGCGTTTCCTTGGGTTTTTCTTCTCTTTATCATGACCAGGGTTCTCATCATGTGCAGACTGTCTTCTTTTTTCAGTTTTTCTGCCACTTTCCTTATTTTGACGACGTTTCTTTGGGTTTTCTTTCTTTTTATTATGACCAGGTTTCTCTTGAGGGGGATGGTGGCTATTATGTTCACCATCATTCAATTTTTTAGATCTACTTCGTAAATTGTACATGATTTTATAAATTAGCAAAAAACCTTTAGAAAGAGAGAAAATAAAAAAGAGGAAATATGACTTTTCGAGTTACTAACTAAAAATAATCAAAAAGAGAAACTTTATATATTTATATACCTAATAAAAATCTGCATAGAATTTTACGTTTGAAATTCAATAAATGTTTTAAATGGTTAATTTTATGCAAAATTGAATTTCAATGAATTATATATTTGCATACTGCTTCAAAACTTCAATAATATTATGATACGTTATCCTAAAAAAAGAGAGATTTCTTAACTAAACTTACAACCTCTTTATGATATTTCCAATCTTGGCATTGAATTCTCTAACCTGGTTTATAATTCAAATTACGTTGATTCTATTTTAAGATATAAATCTTAAGTTTTTTCTGCTTGTCTATTTTATTCACTTCATCAAATCTAGTGGTCAGACAGGTGAAAAGGATGCATGCCTAAACTAGAAGACCCCAGTATTGGCTCTATTCGGTCTAAAAGGGTCAATTTAATCTTTCTCTTTGTGGATGCCTGATTAACTTTAATCCTTTTTCCAAGTGTTCTCAATCATATATTATTTAGCTTTATTATATTATGGAGAATTACATCGAATAAATCATTAAAAATGTGTTTGTATTTTATTTATTTATTAGAAGTTTGGCACACATCTAGAATTTAATAATTTATTATACACTACAATTGGTTTATTTGAGATAAATTCAAAGGACTTTTTCAACTTCTTCTGGAAGCAATACTTTCTTATTTCTACTAGTTTTTAAAATAATTTATTTGTAGGAGAGTTTGTTTTTATAAGGCTTAGAGCTACATAAACGTTGGTGATTTATTCACCTTCTGAAGCATCGGCAATTTATTACTTTTTACCCTGAAGAAAAAATAGCAATAGTTGATGTAGCTACAAGTATGTTGATTTTTCAATTTCTACTAGTGTATGGCAATAAGAGATGGAAAAACTCAATTGATATCTGAATTAAAATTCTAAATTTGTTTAATGCCTATTATTATACCACGTTGAAAACATTGGTTCTCATCAGATCCCTGAAGTTAAGCAACGACATGCTTGGCCAGAACTTGGGAGGGTGATTACCTAGAAATACTGGGTACTGTAGTTTCTTCCTTTTGTTTGTTTGTGTGCACGCTGTTTCTTGTTTCACAGCGATTTGATGTACCATAGCCAATGTGTCCAGCACGACTCCTAATTTGTACAAAACCTGATGCGGAGATCGCGTGTAGTGATCGTTATAGGTGACGAAATGTACCCAATTTTGTAAATATCGCAAAGCCTGATTGATACAGAATTTGACGTAGAGATCGCATGTAGCGATGGTTATAGTTTCCTTAATCGAGCCAAGTGTGTTTATATTAGGATCTCGAACGTGATAGTAAATAAGAGGTGAGAAGCAGGAAAAACTGATCATCTGGGGAACAAAACATCCTTATTTACATATAAGCATATTAAGGCATATATTATAATATATTTTTAACATTAGCCCATTCAACTAATGGATCTAGAACGACAGAGTTTGAAGTCTTATTAATGTTTAACCCTAACTTTAATAATATAAGCCATTAGGTCGCAATGGCTACGGAAATATAAATAATATTTATATATAAAACCTTAATATCGTCCTTGTATACAAGGAGATCTTCCTGAATTGTTTTTCTTCCAAAGTGAATAATGAGATTGTCGTTGTCTTTATATAAAATGTGTCGAAATAACCGAACAACTCTCACACGCCGCTACAATTTACCATTAGAGAATCGGCAGTCCCTAATGCAAAGAATAAATAACCCTAATGTCAATAGAGATAATTCATAAATACAACACTAAAACATAAATTTGTTTTTAAAAATACAGTTGAAATAAAGTATAATGTGTACAGTTCGTATTCTCATACTGTATAAAAACATTTCAATATTACCAAAAAAAGATAAATTCCGATGAACTGATATACCATCTTATATTTAATATAGAAATTTGTTTTGGTCGATACAGAAAAACTGAGCTGAAAAAATACCAAGCTCTGATTAGCTAATGACTAAACGTTGGCTGGTTAATTGAAGTAACACAATATTAATGACCCATTCACAAAGCAAGCAACAAACTAGAAAGTTACCTCGTACATATCCTATAGACAATTACATATAAAACCTATATACATAGTGCACTGTGTATAGAGAGGATAAACCATTTAACGATACTGGGTGCTTTTTTAATAATGAATTTCTACAACTATTTATCTGGATAGAGGAAACATGCGTGAAATTTCTATACTTGGAGAAGCACCTTTCAATAGTTGGAAGTGATGATAAAGTCACTGTTTGTGACAATTTACAATTAAAATAAATTTATTGACACCCGAGGTAAAAATAAAAATTAAAAAAAGAAAATATTTCCTCAGACGAAACCCTCTCCGAAGGGTCGTCTGGATCCTACCAGGGGCAACAAGCCCATCTGAGTTCTAACAAGCCCCTTTGAAATTTGGAGTACCTGGGTTGAAGATTCCAAATGACAATGTCGAGGAATGTGCACAGAATTGGCTTGTCTTCAGGCAATAGTTTCTCAAGGAGTGCCTCCCTATCAGGTCGGTATAAGACCGCGTACGCGATTTCATCTCTTTTAAATGTCCTATATAGGAGGCGCAGGAAATATATATCGTGAAGTTGTTTGAATATATCTTCTAGCTGATGCACGGGATTTTTCTCCTGAGAGGGCAGCCGGGTTATGTGGTAAGTAGGATTAATGTATGTGATCCGGAACTCATTGTTCCACGGGTAAGGTAGTGGAGGGACTACTACGGCTGGAGCTGATTCCTCCTCATGGGCAGAAGCGGGCGCTGCTTCAGCAGGCTGAGGCGCGGTGGAGCGACGGGATGAAGTGTGGGCCGCGGTACCATTACTTGGAACCTCCACAGATAGAGTATGAGATGTAGAAGGCACGGGTGCAAGCTGACTGGGTTGGTTTACTACCTCTTTATCAGAGTTCTCATGATGTGAAGACTGTCTTACTTGCTTAGCTTCTCTACCACTTTCCTTTGATTGACGGCGTTTCCTTGGGTTTTTCTTCTCTTTATCATGACCAGGGTTCTCATCATGTGCAGACTGTCTTCTTTTTTCAGTTTTTTCTGCCACTTTCCTTATTTTGACGACGTTTCTTTGGGTTTTCTTTCTTTTTATTATGACCAGGTTTCTCTTGAGGGGGATGGTGGCTATTATGTTCACCATCATTCAATTTTTTAGATCTACTTCGTAAATTGTACATGATTTTATAAATTAGCAAAAAACCTTTAGAAAGAGAGAAAATAAAAAAGAGGAAATATGACTTTTCGAGTTACTAACTAAAAATAATCAAAAAGAGAAACTTATATATTTATATACCTAATAAAAATCTGCATAGAATTTTACGTTTGAAATTCAATAAATGTTTTAAATAGTTAATTTTATGCAAAATTGAATTTCAATGAATTATATATTTGCATACTGCTTCAAAACTTCAATAATATTATGATACGTTATCCTAAAAAAAGAGAGATTTCTTAACTAAACTTACAACCTCTTTATGATATTTCCAATCTTGGCATTGAATTCTCTAACCTGGTTTATAATTCAAATTACGTTGATTCTATTTTAAGATATAAATCTTAAGTTTTTTCTGCTTGTCTATTTTATTCACTTCATCAAATCTAGTGGTCAGACAGGTGAAAAGGATGCATGCCTAAACTAGAAGACCCCAGTATTGGCTCTATTTCGGTCTAAAAGGGTCAATTTAATCTTTCTCTTTGTGGATGCCTGATTAACTTTAATCCTTTTTCCAAGTGTTCTCAATCATATATTATTTAGCTTTATTATATTATGGAGAATTACATCGAATAAATCATTAAAAATGTGTTTGTATTTTATTTATTTATTAGAAGTTTGGCACACATCTAGAATTTAATAATTTATTATACACTACAATTGGTTTATTTGAGATAAATTCAAAGGACTTTTTCAACTTCTTCTGGAAGCAATACTTTCTTATTTCTACTAGTTTTTAAAATAATTTATTTGTAGGAGAGTTTGTTTTTATAAGGCTTAGAGCTACATAAACGTTGGTGATTTATTCACCTTCTGAAGCATCGGCAATTTATTACTTTTTACCCTGAAGAAAAAATAGCAATAGTTGATGTAGCTACAAGTATGTTGATTTTTCAATTTCTACTAGTGTATGGCAATAAGAGATGGAAAAACTCAATTGATATCTGAATTAAAATTCTAAATTTGTTTAATGCCTATTATTATACCACGTTGAAAACATTGGTTCTCATCAGATCCCTGAAGTTAAGCAACGACATGCCTGGCCAAAAACTTCTGAGGGTGATTACCTAGAAATACTGGGTACTGTAGTTTCTTCCTTTTGTTTGTTTGTGTGCACGCTGTTTCTTGTTTCACAGCGATTTGATGTACCACACACACACACACATAGCCAATGTTTCCAGCAAGGCTTCTGATTGGTACAAAACCTGATGCGGAGATCGCGTGTAGTGATCGTTATAGTCTCCAAAATGGACTCAAATTTGTAAATATCGCAAAGCCTGATTGATACAGAATTTGACGTAGAGATCGCATGTAGCGATGGTTATAGTTTCCTTAATCGAGCCAAGTGTGTTTATAATAGGATCTCGAACGTGATAGTAAATAAGAGGTGAGAAACAGAAAAACTGATCATCTGGGAACAAAACAACCTTATTTACATATAAGCATATAAGGCATATATTATAATATATTTTTAACATTAGCCCCATTTAACTAATGGATCTAGAACGACAGAGTTCGAAGTCTTATTAATGTTTTTCACTAACTTTAATAATATAGGCCATTCAGTCGCAAAGGCTACGGAAATATAAATAATATTTAGATATAAAACCTTAATATCGTCCTTGTATACAAGGAGATCTTCCTGAAATGTGTTTCTTCTAAAAGGAATAGTGACATTGTCGTTTTCTTCATATAAAATGCGTCGAAAAAATCGAACAACTCTCACACGCCGCTACAATTTACCATTAGAGAATCGGCAGTCCCTAATGCAAAGAATAAATAACTCTAATGTCAATAGAGATAATTCATAAATACAACACTAAAACATAAATTTGTTTTTAAAAATACAGTTGAAATAAAGTACAATGTGTACAGTTCATATTCTCATACTGTATAAAACATTTCAATATTACCAAAAAAAGATAAATTCCGATGAACTGATTTACCATCTTATATTAAATATAGAAATTTGTTTTGGTCGATACAGAACCACTGAGCTGAAAAACACCAAGCACTGATTAGCTAATGACTAAACGTTGGCTGGTTGATTGAAGTAACACGATATTAAAGACCCATTCACAAAGCAAGCAACAAACTAGAAAGTTACCCCGTCCATATCCTATACACAATTACATATAAAACCTATATACATAGTGCACTATGTATAGAAAGGATAAACCATTTAACGATATTGTGTGCTTTTTTAATAATGAATTTCTACAACTATTTATCTGGATAAAGGAAACATGCGTGAATTTTCTACACCAAGAGAAGCTCTTTTCAATAGTTGGAAATGATGAAAAAGTCACTGTGTGTGACAATTTACAATTAAAATAAATTTATTGACAACCCGAGGTAAAAATAAAAATTAAAAAAATATATATTTACACCAGACGAAAACCCTCTCCGAAGGGTCGTCCTGAATCCTACCATGGGCGACAAGCCCTTATGAGTTTTGACAAGCCCCTGTCAAATTTGGAGTACCTAGGTTGAAGATACCAAATGACAATGTCGAGGAATGCGTACAGAAATGGCTTGTGTTCAGGCAAGAGTTTCTCTAGAAGTGCCTTCCTATCAGGGCGGTATAAGACCGCATACACGATTTCATCTCTTTCAATTGTCCTATATAGGGGGCGCAGGAAATATGTATCGTGAAGTTGTTTGAATATATCTTCTAGCTGATGCACGGGATTCTTCTCCTGAGAGGGCAGCCGGGTTATGTGGGTAGTAGGATTAATGTATGCGATCTGGAGCTCATTGTTCCATGGGTAAGGTGGTGGAGGGACTACTACGGCTGGAGCCGATTCCTCCTCATGGGCAGAAGCGGGGCGCTGCTTCAGCAGGCTGAGGCGCGGTGGAGCGACGGGATGAAGTGTGGGCCGCGGTACCATTACTTGGAACCTCCACAGATAGAGTATGAGATGTAGAAGGCACGGGTGCAAGCTGACTGGGCTGGTTTACTACCTCTTTATCAGAGTTCTCATGATGTGAAGATAGTCTTACTTGCTTAGCTTCTCTACCACTTTCCTTTGATTGACGGCGCTTCCTTGGATTTTTCTTCTCTTTATCATGACCAGGGTTCTCATCATGTGCCGACTGTCTTCCTTTTTCAGTTTCTCTGCCACTTTCCTTATTTTGACGACGTTTCTTTGGGTTTTCTTTCTTTTTATTATGACCAGGGTTCTCATCATGTGCCGACTGTCTTCCTTTTTCAGTTTCTCTGCCACTCTCTTTATTTTGACGTTTCTTTGGGTTTTCTTTCTTTTTATTATGACCAGGTTTCTCTTGAGGGGAATGGTGGCTATAGCGTTCACCATCATTCAATTTTTTAGGCCTACTTCGTAAATTGTACATGGTTTTATAAATTATTTAAAAAAACTCTCGAAAGAAAGAGATAATAAAATAGAGAAAATATGATTTTTCGGGGTTAGCTAACTAAAAATAATCAAAAAGAGAAACATGATATATTTATACAGCCTTATAAAAATCTGCATAAAATTTTACGTTTGAAATTCGTTAAATGTTTTAAATGGTAAATATTATGCAAAATTAAATTTCTATAATTTCCATATTTGCACATTGTTTTCAAAGCTTCTATAATATTTTGATACCATCCTAAAGAGAGAGAAAGATATTTTTTACCTAAACTTACAACCTCTTTAAGATATTTCCAATCTTGCATTGAATATCTAACCTGGTTTATAATTCAAATTACATTAAATCTGTTTTGGGATATAAATCTTAGTCTTTTATTCTGCGTGGTCTATTTTATTCACTTCATCAAATCTAGTGGTCAGACTGGGGAAAGGATTGCATGCTTCATCTAGAAGACATCAGTATTGTTCTAATTGTCTGGAAGGGCCAAATTAATCTTTCACTTTCGTCTGATTAACTTGAAAGGAACTCTCTCTTCAAATTTTTCCCAAACCAAATAATAAATATAACTTGGCATCATTATGGACTCTCTTACATTGAATAAATTTATTTAAAATGTGCCCGCATTTTTATTTGATAATCTTTAGATAATT